ACACACACACACACACACACACACACACACACACACACACACACACAGCGTTCTGGCTGATATTAAATGTTCCCTGAAGGTAAAAAAAAGAAGGGGAAAGTGATGCCCTCCTTAACTCAGGGTGGAGACGTTGGTCACCGCTCAGGCTCAGAGTGTTTGTCCAGATTTATGCCTCACTTGTGCACGAAGACATAGACTTAGTGTGAGGCCAAATTAAGTTTGTTTTCTAAAAATAAAATATAAATCTTCTGAAATCAAATCTAACTACATTTTAAAGGGAAACTATCTAAATGGTGTGGTTTCTTTCCTTCTGACCAAGGAAATATGGAAATTTATCTAAAAGGGCTTTTTGAGTTGTGGTCTCAGGGACTGTTAAAAAAACAATAACCATCCCCTTTGCATGCTGTGTGCATGAGAGGAGATTCCTGACTAAGCTTTGCCTCATACTTACAGCAAATTTCAGGCCCATGATGAGAGAAATATAAGAAAGCACTGAGTCTATGGCAAATGATATTTTCCCCCTTTGGTGTATGGGTTTTGAGGTGAGCAGTCAAGAGCTTAAAAGGAGGCTGTGGATCAGCCTTTACAGTAGACCCATAGAAGGTCTCACTGTCCTGCAGACTTGGTTGCGCCAGAAGCTAGGGCACAGGCACAGTATGACATCATGGGAGGAATTTTGAAGTAGGAAGCTTGGGTTTGAGTTATTTTCTTGTCTCCTGTAATGTGTGAGAGGAGGAGAAGCAAGCCACTCAGACTTTTCTTCCCGAACCTCTCCTGGTATTTTGTTGGTTCTATAAAGAATGTTTAGCTCTGCATTTCTCTACTTCATAGTGTTCCCTGGTGTGGAGAAGTACTTGACACTTCAATTTCTAGACCGGGAACTTAACTTTTGTTTATCTTGACACATTATTCTCTGGCTCGTATGAGTCTTTGGATCATTCTCTTTTTATTTTTTTTTTCAATTTTGCATTTTATGTGATGCCAACTAGACCCAAAGTACTTCAGCCTTACAGATATAATGGTCCTTTCCACTGCACATTTCTCATCTGCCAAGCACTTGCACTGCATAAGTGTCTATGCTGGTAAGTTATTAACTCTCAAATTGAGTCCTTTAGGCATGTTCTGTACCATCTAAGACAGTTTTTGAAAGGGTGTTTCTGGAGCTAGAGGTGGAGCTCAGTAGCAGAATGCTTGCTTAGCATAGAGGAGACCCTAAATTAAATGTCTAGCACCTGTGTCACAAAAATACAAAATAAAATTTAAAATTAAAGGATGCTTTATATGTCTCTCCCTTGAGAGGTACTTGATATAGTAATTGGCTTTTGTAGTATAAAAACAAATCTGAACTTGCTGGCTGAAATAACTCTAATTTATTTATGTCCCACAATTATAAGTCGCATTTTGGCCTGAGAACTGGGAGGCCCTCAGTTATGCTGTTGGCTTGGCTCAGTCCTGGGTGCATGGAGTCAGTTGCTTCAGCAGTAGACCAGCCTGGTGTAGACCTCACTGACTCACATCTCTTAGTGTATCCACTTGGTTTGTTTTCATGAAAGGGCAGGTTTCCTAAGGAGTCACGCCAAGTCTAGGCTCAGAACTGACACACTGTTAAGATCTCTCTACTCCACTGGTGACCTCTAACCACAATTCAGATCTCCAGCCTGATTCCTCTAAGGATGCCCAAGGGAGCATGATCCCACTATGAACTGAAGAGAGAAAGGGAAATCACCAGAGCCATTCTGGGTCTTGCTAAATCTCTGGGCCAGCGATGTTGGGACTGTGCTGAGTAGAACCCCTGGTGGGATGTGGGACACGGTGCCCGAGGAGATATTGGCAGCAGCAGCTGGGACTCGGTTTCCTCTGCTCAAACTGCAGCAGCATGTTTAATGTTCAGCCTCTTTTATGGAAACGGTTGGGTGTCCATCTTCAAGAGAGGAGCAATGAATGCTATATGGATGTGTAGGAAAGTAAAAATGGAAATGTAAACAGGACTGCACCTAGTGGGCTGGTCTGTTCAGTTTATTTATTCAGTCTGCCCAGACCACTTTATTTTATGTAATGTGTGCCTGTGAAACTGCAGCTCTGGGAAGAGAGGGAAGCTAGAATCACTCAGCGTTGGACGGGACGTACCTGCCCAAGACACAGAGACACAAATGCAGGCTCTGTTTTATATTCCAGGATTCGTATCTTAAGTGTCCTTATTAGTGTATTTCTAGGCCAGGTTAGGCACTGGAAATAACCTAAACAGACTTGATTTGTGTGACTTTGAAAATGTGTATTGAACCCAAGCTAGCTAATATTTTTCTTTGGTTCTGGTTTCAAATGGGGAAATATGCTTAATTATGGCTTGCATCATGGCTTGGAAATTGTAGCATTTATATGTTGATGTAACTCGCCTGAATGTAAAAGGGGACTATGTATAGGTAAGGGAACATATGTAAATGGATCCGAAGCATGTTTGGCAAGGCATGGAAGCCAGAAGGGAAAGGGGAAAATTATGCTACTTGCCAGACATTTAGGGGCCATTTGCCAACGGTTGCCTCCACTTCCTCCACATTGTAGCTGTGTTTGCTTTTCAGCCTTTTACATAAAACTCTATTTAAGTTCAGCTACTAAACTTCGAGGAGTGAAGTAGGAAAGCCTTTGAGTGATTCCAGCACAATCCTTTCTGGAAAAAGTGCCGTCTAAGTGTGTGGTGGCTTTCACAGCAAACGTAAATGGAGTCAGGACTTTACTTCAGTTTGAAACGTTTTGGGACAAATATGGATCATTCTATAAATTTTCACCTATACCTAATGAGCCACTTGTGTCACCTACTACTGTGGTTGTATGGGAAAAGCCAGTGATTTAAGTTGGCAATTGTTCCCTTGAATAATGCAACTACTGCGTTCTTCTAATTCAGGCTTGGGATTAGCCTGCAGTCTGTGCTATAAGCTTTAGGTCAGACAATTTTGCCTCCAGTCTTCCTAGACCCCATGGTTAAAAAAAAAAAAAACAAGACTTGGGGACACCTACCTCATGACAAATGGCAGAAATACAAACATAAGCAAAAATGCTTGACATAGCTTCAGGTTTGTGGCCAGAAATGGCCCTCTACCTCCTCTGCTTACATGTGATTGGCCAAAGTGGGTCATAGATCCAAAACCAATGTCAAGGAGTGGGTAAGTACACTCTTTCTGTTTTCATGGAAGAAACTATGTAGATGTCTTGGAAAGGCAATGCATTTGGAGGAGTACGGAGGATCAGGAAGAAAAACGTAAGCCACCACCTAAGCCCTATGACATTTTTTGTTTTCTCTATGGTAAACTAAACCTATTGTCAATTGACAATGAAGATGGGGACCTTCAAGGCCCACAGGGTCATATTCCTATAACAGGGAAGGAGTGAGATAACTGCAAAACAGTTATCTATCTGGATGTAAAGTGTGTTAGAGGAAATCAGAGGAGCCATGCTTGCCTGTCTTATATATCACTGCTTACAACATCTAATGTGCATTTATATTAATTTCCAGTAAATAAAAGAATAATTTATACCAGTAAGACACTTCATTTACTTTCATAGAAGAGGAGCTATATAAGATCAAGTGATTGAGAATTATGTGTGTTTTTTTAGACATAATATTTGCATTTGAATATCAGAAATAGAAAACTATTACTGGACTTTGAAAATACAGAAGGTATTCGATTCCAAATTGACTTGTTCTTCCTGGAGAAATGATCCCACCATCAACCTTAAGCCTACTTAATCTCTTTTCTGTCTGAGCCTTAGTTGAGTGAATCTGAAGTCATTTGAAGTGAAGATGGGCAGAATTTTGTACGCAGTGTTACATTGTCCCTCTTCTCTCCCTAGATCGATGCCCTGCCAGAAATTGTGGAGGCTGTGGAGGGGAAGGTAGAGGTCTTCCTGGATGGGGGTGTCAGGAGAGGCACTGATGTCCTCAAAGCTTTAGCTCTGGGAGCCAAGGCTGTGTTTGTGGGGAGGCCTGTCATCTGGGGCTTGGCTTTCCAGGTAACTGGTCAAGAAAACACCTACATAAATAAAACCCACAATAGTGCAATAAATGCCTAGAACCCGACTAGTTGACCCAATGTCGTAACATCTTTTACTTATTCAGGGGGAGAAAGGTGTTCAAGATGTCCTGGAGATACTGAAGGAAGAATTGCGGCTGGCCATGGCTCTGAGTGGTAAGGCTTACCACGACTGCATGTGTGTTGCCACAACACAGTAACTGAAAGACCAAAGTACTGGAAGAAGGACTTACTTGAGCTCATGGTTTCAGAGGCTTTCAGCCCATCGCTGGGCTGAAAGCATTGTGGAGCTCATGGCAGAAACTGAACTAGGGGCTGAGTTATAACCTTGGAAGGCCTGGCCTGACTGTCTACTCCCACTGTCTGGTCCCCACCTCCTAAAGATCCCAGAGCCTCCAGCACGGCACCATCACTAGAGAATAGGCACTGAAAAGCTGAGCCCATGTAGAACACTCCAGAATCAAACCACAGCAGGTTCTATTTTTCACTTACCACTTTCCTCTTTTGTGTGAGCTTCGGGCCAGGCTCCTTGGAGGAGTTAAGATTTGAGGGGGTGGGGAAATAAATTGTTTGGGACACTGAATTTGCACCTGGCTTTATAAAAGTTTATGGCTGTGAGGTGTGGTACTTAGATTAGGGTGCTACACTGTACATAGATAGGCCTACTGCACTTCTCTTTCAGCTTTGATAGTCCCCACAGGGATGTCTTGGTGAGCAAGAATGGGTCAAAGACAGCACCATTCTTTTTCACACGTCTTGAAGCAGGAGTGCATAGACTCACCTGGCCAGTCAGTTCTATCCTAGACTAAGGGGGAAGTCAAACTCTACCTGGCTAGATCCCATCCTTACATCTCTATTACATGAGCTCCGCACGCTGCCTCTCACACTCTCAAGACTGGCCTTTTCTCTTACATCTTGACACTCAGAGGGGTGGCTCATCTCAACATCACTGGAATCTGACCCCCTTCACCATATCCACGGCCACCACCTGATTGTCCCATTATTCTTTTCCTCTGGCAGTGGGTATTGGAAGTCTGCCTCTCCAAGTTTGTTTGCTTTCTCCCAGTCTCTTTTGATCACAGAAGCCATGGGGGCTACTTAAAATATTAACTGAGCTCATGATCCTGTGATCAGAGCCCTCCCATGACTCTGAACTCACTTAGCACAGATGTTGGACTCCTTTGCAGTAGTTCCAAGGCCCTTGTTTCTTGTTCCACTTTTAGTCACAGCTGTCACTGCTGCTGTCCCTGTTACAGCACTGAAATTTCATTTGTATCTTTAGTTCCTTGATTATCAGACAAACACCAGCCTCGTGGCCTCTGCGCTGGATCTTTCTCCTTCCTTGATGCCCGCCAGATGTCTGTGTGAAGAGGTTCCTCCACTGTCCAAGCTTTTATGTACATTTATCACTTACAGAAGGACCACCTTGACTGATCACCCTTCTGCATATTCCAGACTTCTGTCCCTGTTCTTTTTCCTTAGAGCCCATCACTGTTCATAAGTCATCTGTCGCATAACTTACTTTTAAAACAACACACATTAAGTATTTTGTGTTTCCTCTCTAAAATATAAAATGTGTGACCAGGGATATTTCCATCTTTTATCTCATTGCAGGGCTTACAGTGTTTAGAGTGGTGCCTGGCACACAAACAATAAATGTTTGTTAAAAGAAGTTAGTAAGTCCTGTGTTTACTGAGCATTACTTAGAGTTTGACAGTTAGCTGTGGGGGAGGGGAAGTGCCAAGTGAATTACCAGCTTCCGGCATTTGAAGGTGAAGTGAGACCTCTTTTCTGTGGTCCACAACATCCAAATCACCCTGATAGCTACAACTCCGGAGATGGATTGTCTCCCTGCTACTGTGCAGCCCAAGCATGTCAGAACTTTCAGGAGAAGAATGCCATTCTGTGAATCCTCACTACACATTTTAATTTGCTGCAGACATATCCTAAGCAAAAGCTTTCAGCCTCTGGCTGTCTATTAAATGTGGCAGAAAGAATACACTCTTTGTGTTAATAAAAATATGTGCCAGTCATTTTGTATTAAGGACTGTTTAGGTAATAAAAATGGTCTCATGCCACATAAGATTTGGCAAGGCTACCTTGAATCATAAACCTTACATTTGTCAAAGTTTACATTCCTTGGGAAAACGATTACCTGCCTGATGATTATTGCATTCATTTCATATTAAATGTATGCATTATTTTTTTCAGGGTGCCAGAATGTGAAAGTCATCGACAAGACATTGGTGAGGAAAAATCCTTCGGCTGTTTCCAAGATCTGACAGTGCACAATATTTTCCCATCTGTATTATTTTTTTCCAGCATGTATTACTTGACAAAGAGACACTGTGCGGAGGGTGACCACAGGCTGTAACTCCCCACTTCAATACAAAGGGTGTCGTTCTTCTCCAACAAAATAGCCATCCCTTTTCGCTCATTGCTTTTGACTTTTCAATGGGTGTCCTAGGAACCTTTTAGAAAGAAATGGACTTGCATCCTGGAAATATATTAACTGTTAAAAAGAAAACATTGAAAATGTGTTTAGACAACGTCATCCGCTGGCAGGCTAAGGTGCTGCGGAACAAAAGATATCCTCTGGTAGAATTGGAGGGAGTGTGCTGAAGTGAAAGATAATGACCTCACTGTTTATTAACCTGCCTCGTGTTTAGATTTCCTTAAGACAGTGGTTCTTACAGTGTGCACTGGGCTTTGAAATGCTGGAAATGCCCAGAGAAACATGAGGTTTGGATTTGCCAAGTTGAAAAAATATCACTGGGTAGAATTGAAGTGAATGGTGGTAATTTGTGATTTTTCTAGAGACTTTTCATTTTTTAACATGCTATTTCTTTGAAGGTGGATTTCTAGACATATATCGAGTGTCTGGATATGTCTGAATGTTTTGTGGTAATCATTGCATTTGAAAGGGATGTGTCTAGTCCACTTGGGACAATATGGAATCATTTTCATTTTTCAACTCTGTCTCCTCATTTTGAAGTGTTCATTTCCTAATTTCCCCTGAACCTTTCTTGATTTTGCCACTTATCCTCATTTACAGTCATATTCAGGGTCAAGTACATATTTTGTGAGGTCCAAGATGAATAAAGATTTGGAACTTTTGCTCAGAAGGAAAGCCAGAAAACAGTTGTCTTTTCCTTTTATTACAGTAATTTTCTTTTTGTTAATTTTTATTAATAATTCTTATTATCATTTATTACAGTTTATTCAGTTTGTATCCTGGCTGTGGCCTCCTCCTTCATCTGCTCCCAAACCCACCCTCCCTCCCTCTTCTCCCCCATGCCCCTCCCCTAGTCCACTGATACGGGAAGACCTCCTCTCCTTATATTGACACTAGCCTATTATTGTTAGTGTTGTCTTTTTGTTTTCTTCTTTCTTTCTTTCTTTCTTTCTTTCTTTCTTTCTTTCTTTCTTTCTTTCTTTCTTTCTTTCTTTCTTTCTTTCTTTCTTGTTAATGCTGTTCTTCCGAGGGCATGGGCAGCAGTGACACTTGACCCGTTGAAGACTCCATAAAGTGACTATGGTTCTCCCTTGTACCTTGCCCTTCTTGCACCCACGCTCAAGATTTTCAGAGTGGCTTAGCCAGCAGCCAAGAGCCTATTCCTGGGGCATGGGGGGACATCAGAAGGGACAATGTGTCCTGCTTGCCTCAGTCTGCGCTCCACTTGGCTCACTGAATGTCAGTTAAAAGGCACAGTTTCAAAAGTAAAATTGATAGTTTTTCAAAGGCAACAACAAAAGAGCACCAAGCCCTGAACGTGAGAATACCTCTGAATATGGAACCCTGGACACAGGGAAGTTAACAGCACTGGGCTGTTAATTTTAGTTCCAAAGAGAGCTTTCTGCAGTGCCTTCTGAAGTAATTTTGTTGAACCATTATGGAGTGTTGAATGAAGCCATCTTAAAGGATGATTTTTATATTGCTTTATTATCACATTAATTGTCTTGTGATCTCCATGAGCTTCTGAATCTCAGATCATTGCTAAATAATAGCAGTGCAAACAGAGCTTTTCCTTTTGAAATTATGTATTTGTTAGATAAAAACAAGTTGTCGTTTACTCTGATAAAAATGAGGATAGTTAGCATTCATTTTTTTTCCTCCAGATGCGAGGAGGAAATGTTACATCCATGTCAAATCATGCTGTCATTTCTAGTTAATCAATGGAGAAGTAGTCCTGAGTGACTAGCAAATACCATAGAAATTTTATTCTATCAGCTGTTAGTGAAGAATAGTCACTGTAGCTGTATTGTTGGATGATGCCATCCTAAGAGGCTGGTAGGAGCTCAGAAAGTGAGGCTCCACAGGGAGGTCGGACTGAAATTATGAGAATAGCTGCAGATGTGTAAATTTCCTGTGATTTTTCATCAGTTCAGAACTATGCTATGCAGATTTCTTTTTAAGTATTCAGAGTGAGACTATGTCTGAAAACCCATGTTGGATAACTTTTCCATAACCAAAGAGATATAGTTATTTCTTCTTCTTAAAAGAGGAAGTCGGATCCCCTGGAAACAAATAAGATACAGGAAAGGTTGAGGCATGAATGAAGTGCATTGATTATGCATCCCTTACCAGCAGTTCTACCATTAAAATTTGTGATTGTCTTTTCTGTTTCTGAATTAAAAAAAAAATAAGTTTATTATTAAACACACCAAATACAAACATCATACACAATCATGGTGTACTCTGGAGTTTTTGACACATGTGTATACATACTGTTTACTATTCATCTCTTCTCTGAGTTTTTAGAAGTCTTGGGGAGAGGAAGAACATCCCCTTAGGCTGTGCACTTGTCTGTCATGTCATCTAGAGCGCACTGCAGCAAGGCAGTCTTTAAACCACAACCTGTATCAGAACAGCTTGGAAGTGTGTTAAAACAGACTGCTGGGCCTGTCTGCTGTGACCTCTTAAACTGCCAGCTCAATGAGCCTGTTGCTGGGTGTGAGTTGTAGGGAGAGGCCAGGTGCCTCCTAGAAACACCAGGCACCTTTTGACAGTGGACTCTTCCTGGTTTATTTTATATCTTACGGAGGCACAAAATGCCTACTTGGAGCATGTAAAGCTGTAAAGACTGAGTGTCTTGGTAAACACATTTTCAAACAACCATTAGGTGCCCTGTAAATGCTGATGTAGCAAACTTCCACCATCCTCCCACGACCCTCCTTTCAGAAGTAAACCTCTGTGTGGCCACGGATTGCTGATGACTGCTGCTGAACATCAAGCGATGCAAACTGTACGGAATATGCCTGGGTATTTGGGGTCTTCTGTTGACTCCATGTGGACCTCAGTCATGGTGAATCTATCAGTTTTACTTACTGGTCTGTAGTGTGTAGCGATCCACTATAGGGCTTTGCCACAGTATACTGATCTCTTCTTCCATTGCTAGGTGGAGGTGTTCAGGTTATTTCCATTTTTTTTTTTTCTGGAAGTATCTTATGCTTGTCATTAATGCAAATACAGTATTAGTTTATGCTTTTTCCAGAAAAGACACTGAGCTGGTCATGCTTTATGTAGATATGGCCTACCCCCGGTTCAACAGCACTGAGACCCCCTCACTGTAACATCTTGTCATTCATCCCTGATACAGAGTTATGCCTGGGGCCTGGGTAGTTTGGGATGGCTGCCAACAGAAATCTCCAGAAATTCCTTTGCTTAAGCTTGCTTACATTCTGCTACCTGGAAGAGTGTGGGTGTGAAATAAACTTCCTCCTCACTACCAGGCTTGGGTACCCAGTTCTCAGGCCTTTTGGGCTAAATACAGTGGGACAGATGTTTCTTAGCGTGCCATTTGCAAACTGCATCTGTATCCTCGCTGTGTTATTCATTTGATTGTTTATCTGGCCCAAACCTTGGTGTTTGTGAAACAGCTTGAAAGGGCTGTGGTGTGTTAGGATAGCATGAAAGGAAGTTGTGGCTTGTTCTCAAAGAAGACGAAAGGATTCTTTCTCTTCTCTGTAAAACCCATAATTTATTTATATGCACTGTGTTGAATGTAAGTTGCATAGCAACGAGGTAAAGTCTGTATGGAAATCTGAAGGTTTCGTGTTACATAATGATGGAGGACACAGTGACCTTGCGCTCCTTTGTAGTGTGCACTGTGTCATTTGCCAGTTATGGAAAGATTTCAGGGGGACAATTTATTTTAGGTAATATGTTAACCCAAGTGATAGAAGGCCATTATTATATATTTATATGATGGGAAACTTTTGTCCATGTTAAAAGAAACAATTTCCTGTCCTTATCCGAATCTAACTTGTGCAATAGAGCTCTTCTGTCCTCCTTAATTTGATTGTCCATAGACTGCCACGGGCAAAGAAAAAGATGCTTCTTCAAACAAATCGTTTCCTGTTTTCTTCTCTAAGGATAATTTCTGAACCTAGATAATGACAAGGTTCAACTGAATTTTCCCAGATTCTTCTAAGAGTCAGTACTTGGGGAAACCTAGATGCTGAGATGAGGGTTGGGGTTTCTGTGAGCAGCATGCCTGATTTCACTCTTGCCTTTCATTCAGCATGGCTGGGAAAGGCCTGGCCCAGCTTCCTCCCTGTCTTTCATAGCTGAATCATTTACCTTCAGGGCTGATTTGTTATCTCTTGCAGTTCAGCCTGTGTTTGCTCCTAACAGTGATATCCTCTTATTGATGGAATAGTATACAGAAAGGGCCTTTACACCTTATGCTAAGTTTCTTTATCACCTCTGCTGCACGACGGTCAAGACTGCTTACCAGGAAGCCCTGGATCAGGATGTTGAAGATCTGAGTGCCTGGGCCTGTGAACCACAATTCAACTGGAGGCCCCTCCATTCTCAGCTGTGAATCATGGACCAGCATCTCCATAACACATCGGGATTTTTATGATCATAACAGGGAGAAATAGAAGGAAATGAATTGTCAACTGTAAAACAATCTTAAAAGGAAAATCTCAACAATCACTAGTATTACCGGAGGAAATTTAATGAGTGCTAATGTACATTTTGTGTTTACATAGAAGAAACTGACTTTGTGGTAAAAACAATTATTTAAGAATTCAAAAAATTCAACAGAAAAGAATAAAAATAGCTAGAGATTTTAATACATGAAAATTACCTATTTTTGTTAAAGGTACCATCTCAGAAACTGCTGTGTGTATTTCAGAACTAACAGCTGTATGAGCAGAAGATAGATAGAGATGTCTTTACTAAAATAGGGCTTCACCCTGAATGTTATATTGAAGTAAAATGTTCATTTTATTTTAGTTTGAATTTAGCAGAAGAGAACATTAAACACAAGGGATTCTTAAAATTAAAATGTTTTCCTTCAAAAGGAGATAATGTGCACACCTTGCACATTTTAAAATTATGAAACCTTAAGAGCTTGTGGTAAATTTTGGTGTAGGGCACACATTTCTATTTCAGACAGAACTGGTTGAGTTACTGCCATGGAGAAGTAATGAGAGTCTCACACCTACTCCGTCCTCTCTCCTCACTTTGTGAGCATTGTGTGTGTGTGTGTGTGTGTTCTGTCATAGTACCAAACACATACCTTTATATCAGTAACGCTGGCATGAAGCAGCTGCTCCCCATCTCCCCTAGGCTCTGGGCCTACTTGAGTGCACTTTGTTCCTGGGTTCACTGACTAACTGTTGACTGGAAGAATGGCTATATTCTCTCAGCTTCTGCATGTTTAAAATGTTTCTTAACACTCCCACACCCCAGTCTAATATTCTGGGGTCACAGTTTCTTCTTGCAAACATTTTGTGTTGTCTTCAAACAACTAATTCCATCAAAAGAAATCAGCCTGGAGTTTTTAATGTCCTCTTACCTCAAAAACCTGAGAGGTAGAATGCTGTTTCATTAACTTCAGATTTCAAGATTTCAGCTAGAACTTCATGCTGAAAATGTCACAGAATATAAGTTTACAATAAAATTTTTCCTATCCCAGATTTATTTTTAGTTTTAATATATGAGAAGCAACACAGATATGTTTTGTTTTAATTACTAAAACAAAATGTGTACATTTTGGCCCATTATAGTAACAATAATAAAATTATTATTTACAAATTGTTGGGCACTTGTTCCATGACGACAAACATTTTTAGATACTTTTGGTGAACATGCTGACCCACAAATGTTCTGTGATGATGAAAATGTT